CCTCTAGTTGGTAGCACCGGTCTTGTTCCTAGGTAGAGTCGCACTGGAGGCATTCTGCCACCCTGAGAATGTCATCGTGAGAATGCATCAGTTGGCCATTCTACGGCCTGGACAAAAGCAGAGAGGAACTGAGTGCAACCAGGAGCAGTCTGCATGTAGTAAGGCTCACCCCAGCTCACCCTAGTGAAGCCTGGGGGAGGACAACTGATTTCTCCCTCAGTAAAGTACAGATCACTCAGGAATATTTTTGTTTAGCCAGTTGCTTCTTATGACTCCATTGAAGCCAGTTCCTTGAGGGCTACAATGATACCCCTTCCCCAGAATCCACGAAGTGCAGGAAGGACTTTTCCTCCAAAGGAAGGAGCAATACTAATTCCAGAAAGGGAAGTGATGGTGGTCAGATGGAAGCCAAGCATGGTCCCATCCTGCAGTGACCAAGGAGCCTGGAGCACTGCTGAGAGGAAAGAGGATTGGCTGGGTCTGGCTTCCTTCTCCCACACTCTTGCGCACTGTAGATACTTGACAATTTTAAAATGTAAAGAGAAGCAGAATAAAACACACAGTACACCCACTTGAGTAAATTTTCACACACACACACACACGCTCATGCACCCAGAATGTCTTTCGGAATGTTCTGGAACATAAAGACCGCAGCCTTCCTCAACCTCAGAAGGAAGGTTCTTTCAAGGGCACTTACTACAGACCATGAACACCGAGCTAGAGGAAATTGTCCTTCACAATTCTGAGGGTGGTGAGTCCCAGCTGAATGACTGCCATGCTGATCCTACCTGTGTGTACAAGAAATGGGCAGGACACTTGAGCCCCCCAGGAGGCCACCAGAACCCCAGGAGATTGTGCACCTCTGGGGCCTTGCACGGCACCCCCCCCCCCAAAGCCTCAGCCAAGTTCTCGGAAAGCCCGTGTCAGACATGTATTTGGTAACCCATTCTTTCTTCACGTCTTTCCCAGTGAAATCATGCTCACAGGGCCAAATTATAAATCAAACCAAATAAAAGTGAAGTTGTGTAGGTTGCGTGTCGTGGGCTGGCAGTAAGGTTGCACCTTCCCAGACCCAGTTTGATCCTGCTGCCATCCTGGAGCTTGCACAGTGAGATTAGGGTTGGAGCGATGCAAAGAGAAATCCACTGAGCCAGTAGACATTCAGAGTCAGCCAGCAAATGAAGAAGCAGGACTGCTAGATGTGAAAATTAATCATCTGCTGTATGCCCATTTCTGGTCTTACAGGACAATTTTCAGAGCGATTTTGCTTGCTTGCTTGTCTTTCAGGACAAGATTAAACCCAGGATCTTCACATAGACCTATATTCCCAGCCACACATACAGATTTTACATGAGGGTTCTCACTAAATCATTAAGTTGGGTAGGTTCAGTGGAAAATCGTGGTCCTTCCTTAGCCACCCAGAGTACTGGGATTACAAGCGCGTGCTACCATGACTGACTTTAGTGTAATTTTTGCATGTGATCAGTTTATCCAGTAGTCCCTCAAACACTAACAGTGTTCTTACAAAGTGAAAGAGAAGACAACTACATGGGTAATTTCACAACAGAGTACAGGTAAGTGGGAAAAAATGTCTGCTGCTAACAATGAATATAATACCATGGGAGGAAGAGATAAACCAAAGCTTAGCTGCTCTGTCAGCCCTGTAAAGAGGAAGCAGCTGTCCCAGTGACGTACACTCTTCATGGGCCCACAGAAATTTAACATCTCTCCTTAAAGAATACCAAACAATAGACCTTGGAGGTTAATCAATGATTTGGGAAACACATTTCTAATTTTCAAAACTTTTTTTTTAAGGAATGAGTTGCCGAATAAGATTCTATGTAGCATTCTGAGAAAAAAATAAAATGTCATTATATTTAAATTCAAGTGGCCAAAACAAATTTATCATAATGCAACACATCTCAAAATAAGCACAAAGACCATTCTTTATACTCCCCAAACTATAAGCTACAATTGCCTTTCTCAAATTGAGGCAGTTTCTCAAATTAAAACATACAGAAAAGCACATTTCTTCACTGGACTGCAAGTCCTTCAAGCCATAGAGAAACCCTAGAAGCTTGAGAAATGATATACAAAAGCTAATGGAATGGTGTCTGCTTTCAAATCTAAAAATGTAGTGAGTGTACTACCCTCAGTCCAACTCATCCATTCTTTTAAAATTAGTTATGTCATCCCATGAAGCCCTCATTTTCTCTGCTAAAAATATTTTAAGACAATGAAAAAATCTTTAAAGAGCACTTGTCACTCACCCAATTGGCAAACAGATAGTAGGCTAATGTCACATCTCCATTGGGTAGTAGGGTCCACATTGACTACGACATACTCTCCACAAAGCCCAGTGGGCTAAGTCCAAGAGAGATGTCTTCAGCCTGGCATATGTATTCCAAGAAGCAATTAAGACATTATCTGAGGAAATGTGAATTTAGCATTTAATGATTCGAGAAGAAGATGTCCAAGAAGGGTGAGGGCTTTGAGACATTATCACACAAGCAGCGAGAAGAAGCTCCAGCTCTTATGAAAAGTATAAAAAAAAAAAAAGAAAAGTATATTGACTCTGATCTGAATGCAGGAGAAACCATTCTGACTGGGACTGGAGAGAGGCTGAAAGGTGACAGGACCGGGGTCAAGAGGGCTGCGGTAGACCAACTGCATCTTGGAGGCACGACAGGTAATGTTACAGCAGGCAGCATGCGCAGAGACAGAGGAAGCCGGGAGGCCCGGGACTCTTGGCTGGTCTTGGCACGCGCTGTCCAGAGATGGCAAGCACAGGAGGAGTATGCTGCATGCAAGGCAATGGGTTTAACTGGTGTCCTGTCGAGCTTAGAATTCCTGTGATTCATCCAGAAAGGAGTTTTATTCTTATATTTACTCTGCTTTGTTGGATCCAGCTGCACTATATGAAAGGAGACAAGGAGGAGGAAAAATTATATAATGAAGGAAAATAATGATGAAGAAAAGGAGCAAAACTGGAATACGAAACACTGAACCGGTAATAGAAAAGACGCTACTTGGTGAAAAGTAATCACAAAAGCATAATAGTTCAAGCTTTGTCACTCGTTTTCTACAGATTGAAGAGACAGGCAGCACCTGACTGGTGGGTCTGAACGGCTTCCTGTGGGCCTGACCACATGTTTGTGTGCAGAGACCTAACAGAAGACACAAGCCCAACAAAAGGTGGTGTCCCATCAAGCTGTCCGCCTCCCCTTGGCAGCCAGCAAACTGTTGTCCCCGCCTGAGTGGCCTCAGTGTCTGGTGTTAGGTCACACACACTTGCAAGCCAGTGCTGGCAGGTGGCGGCCAGAGGAGGAGCCGATTCTACTGCTCCTCTGCCTGTTGGCTGAAAGCCAGTGAAGGAGCAGACTCTGAGAGACAAGCCCCAAGCACGCAACCTTCCTCCTGACCTCATTTTGCTTCTTAAGGACAGATCCACAGAAGGCAGACAAGCATTATTTTCCTTAGTTTTAATAAACTTGCTCTCCCATATAATCTGTAGTAAGTACTCAATCTTGACAACATAAAAAATTAAAATATAAATAAAAATTTGGACGAGAAGAGCTCAGAGGAGGAGTAAGAGGTACTATAATATTATAACCCAATGTAGTGAGAGATCGTTAAGACATGCAGCTCCTTTCTCTTAGTACAATGAGAAGAAAGGTTTGTGCTGATATTGTTTAGACATCATGTCCGCATCTTGTCCTCTGAGTAACTACTATGAAGACAACAATATGCAATGTGTTATTCATTGTAACTGTTGCACTAACCTGTTTGGAAACTGTTTCAATGCTATTTTATCTTTTTTCCCATTAAAATGAATAAAAGATAAAATAAATAAAAATAATGATAGTACTATAAATTATGGAATAAAAACTAATTTTTATAGTTGGCAAAACAAAATTAAAGGTATAAATATAATAGTTGATGCTTTCAATTCAGTTTTTCTCAATTTGTGAATGAGTTCCATTGAAGGGACTGTCAAGCCAGATTCATGCATAAGTCTGACAGAAGGAGTCTTGGACACTTTGACACAAATACGCAACACAAAGCATTGGAAAACCACACAAACAACGTAAATAAACTATTTATACTTTCATAGTTACCTTCGAATGGTGATACAATACCATGTAAGAATTTAAGCATCCCATTAGATTATATAGAAGGAAGCTGGGTGTGGTGGCACACACCTGTAATCTTAGCACCACGGAGGCTGAGGCAGGAGGATCGTTCCAAGTTTAAGACCAGCCTGGACTACAAAGTGAGTGAGCTCAAGGCCAGCCTGAACTCATACCAGACCCTGTTTGAAAAAGACAAAGAATCCCAAATGCTGTAATAGTAGAAGGGTGTTTGTTTGTTTGTTTGTTTTTGTGGAACCAGGGATTGAGCTCAGACTCTGTGCTTGCCAGGGAAGCACTTTATAATAGTAGAAGGGAAGAAGATTGAGTAACTATATTGTCATCTATCTCAGTAAAGACACTTTAGAAAATAACCAGCAAGAAATTCGCTGCACACACGCTTGGGGTCACGTAGGCAAACGCCACAAGGACCTGGAACTCGTACGTTGAGGCATGAGCTGCTCTTTTGTTTAAACTCTCTGATTTGCCGATCACAGATCAGTATTACTTCGTTAATTTTTTAAAATTGTGAAATATAAAAAATATGTTTATTACTTCACCCAAAACATAAAATCGAGCTTCCACGTCAGCAGGGAGTAGCGTCAGTGTGAGCGCAAAGACTGTGACCACCAGAGAGAGGATGCATCACCGGGGGGCTGCTGTGCTCCTGGCAAGGAGGAAAGCAAGCCTTGGCTCCGAGGCTCGGAGAGGAGGGCGCCACGGGGCTGGGAGCTGCGCTCCACACTACGCGCCTCTCCTGGCAGCCTCGTGCTCACAAGCAGGTTGCCATTCAAACCGATCTACAGGAAGAGAAAACAGGTCACTCTGACACAAGCCATCTGGCATATGGAGAATTAGTTAGTTTTTGATCAGGCAGGAGCGTGAACGCAGCATCCCACTACCACAAATTGTGCAGTCGCGTTTCCTACATTTGGGGAACTCGCAGGGTCTAAGCATCCAAGTGCAATGGACAGGCTTCGCCCTGGGAAAACCACCTTTGTGAGCACAGTATCTCCCCGCCACGTAAGTATGGAGAGTTTTACTTTACTAGGAATTAAAAATTTGACCTTCAGGATTGTACTTCAGTCTCTGGAGAACCTACTTACTGGAGGATGATCTCTCCGTCCGTTCGTGTCTCGTGGCCCAGGCATCTGAGAGGGTTCTGGGAGGCTTTTGCCATGTCACAGACCTCTCTGGACAGCCAGTGGCCCTGCTGTGGACTTGGCCTGGAGAGCACCTGCCTTCCTCTCTGGAGAGTTGAACGAGCTTCCTGCTCTGCAGGTCAGTTCCCTCCTGGCTCGCAGCTCCCATGTCGGCTCCAGAGCCACAAGGAGCTCATTCTTTAACAGTCCACCCAGAACAGCACTCAGGAGCAGAAAGCAATTCTGAGGACACACCTTTGGGCCCTTTGAAGAGTGCTCATGACTCTTGTGGGAAAGCTGAATAGGAAAACACAGTCAGATGCAAAGTCAAATGTGGTACATCTGAAAAGAAAGAAAGGTCCCTGGCGGGGCCTCTTTTTTAGAAGCTTCTGGAAGCAAAGGAAGATTTCCTGTGACACTAGTGAAGCCTAACTCTAGGGGAGGCCGTCCAGAGGAGGCTTCCCAGTGCTCTGAGAGTCTCAAAAGCAATGTGCTCATAAAATCACAGGGTTTTTTTAATTTTCAAAGCTCAGTATTGTAATAATGATTGCCAAGCTGTTACCCCTTTCTGTTCTGACCCCTTCATCACAAATCACTTGCAGTCAGGTCCCCACGGAGTGGCTACAGCCATTGTGCTATCTACACGTATAAGGAAATTAGGTGAGTTGAAGATAATTCACTCTAATATATTTATATTTCCCAGATTTTACTCATATAGTTCAGTGATTATTGACTCACCTGTCATCACTGCAATGAATGACATGAATAGGACCTAAGATTCCAGGCACAGACTCACGGTAAGAGACAGGAAAATAAAGTTTAAAATGCAGGGTTCAGGAAGCTGGTCTATGGAAAACTTTCCCTGTCATAAAGCATGTAAAGTTAAAAGAAGTAGATTCAATTTTCATTGATGTGAATCAAAGTAAAAATTCTATTCCTTCAGAAATATTCTCAATATTACTGCACATATAGTTTCCAATACAACATAATAGTCCATCAGGACAGCATAATGCTCTAAATTGAACCTATTAGAATTCTTCTATCTGTACATCAGAGGCCAAGAGCCAAATCACAAACAGTAAATATAACCTCATTGTAAAATCCTACACTAATGCAATCTAGCTATTGAAAACAGTTTTAATCAGTGATGCTAAAAAAAATGACATTATCTTTCAAAAGTACTTACAGAGAACGTTCAGAAAGCATTTATCTTATAATGAGTTACTCAAAGTGCATGAGAAAATATGACAAAATTCAGGCAGTTAATAAATACAATAAGTTGCGCAGGGACTCAGGGTTAGATTCCCAGGCCTGCTGTGCCAACCCTGCCCCCGGGGTGTGCTAAGAAGGCAATTGAGACTGGGCGTGGTGGCAAACACCTGTAATCCCAGCTCTTGGGAGGCTGCAAACAGGCAGATCACTATGAGTCCAATCTAGTAGTAAGACCCTGAACACCCAGTAGACCCGTCCCTAAAAAATAAAAAATAAATAAATAAATACAATAAGTTATTTTCTGAGTTTTCAAATATTTGTAGAATGTGTAGCTTTTTTAGAAGTATATAAAATTTTCTTAATGTATGTAAAATTTTGCATGTGCACTTAACTTCATAGTTTCAGTTCTGTATTCCTCTTACTAAGGGATCTTAAAACAATGTGCAATTTTCAGGCAAGACAGAACTGGGATCTCCCCACACACACCCTAAAACTTGGCCTCTGAATATGCAGTACCAGGGACAGAGGCCACTCTGTGCACACAATGGGACAAGCCTTCCGTGAGGCACACACTGGCAGGCTCCTTTCCTGCAGGGTGGGGGAAATGGCAGAGTCAGGCTAAGTGTGTGGATAAATGGAGCGACACAACGCTTAATCAGTCACACCTAATTTTCCCCCACTTTCCCCTCCACTCCATCTTTAAAAACAATAATTTGTTTAAGAAAAGACAGGAAATATATTTTATTGTTCACTACAATTCCAGGCACTTTAACAAGATAAAAGTAGACTAAGGCAAATTGCTCACCTGACTGTTGTCAGCAGGATAGCAAGAAGGTTGGTGTATTGGCTGATATACTGTGTCAACCTGAGAAGTTTAATTAAGTGACTCAGCAAGTAGCCAGGGTTCTTGCCTTGTTAGCATCCTCATCCTATGCAAGAGGAGGGGATGGACGTTGTGTGAGTTCTACACTCCCATGCCAGATACCCTGCTTACAATGTAAGAAGGGGAGAGAGGCTTGCTAAAAGCAGCAGTAGCTGCCACTCCCTTTGCTCTTTGCTGTTTTCTGCCACCAGGAATGCCTGCCCTCTGCCTTGGACCCAACTGAGTAGGGACTGAAACCTTCACTAACTGTGAGCTAAATAAATCTTTCCTTCCTTAATTTTGGATGTTGGGTATTTCATTCCAGCAATGAATGAAAACGTACTGAGACAGTTGGCTAGGGGACAAGTGAGGTAGCTGTCCTAAATCATCCTCAAAATCATAATCAATGAGGGGCTGGTGAGATGGCTCAGTGGTCTAAAGCACCTACTTAGAACAAGCTTAGCAAAGCACAGGGACCACGGTTCAATCCCCCAGCACCACATGCCAGCCAGCCCCGCCCCCTGGTGGGCTGAGCTGGCCACACACACACACACACACACACACACACATAAATAAATAAAATTTAAAAAAAATCATAATCAATGAATAGAACTATCAAACCAGAGAAAAATCATTAAAGTTTTGCTCCAATTCTTCATTTATGAATATCAGGAAAGCACAGAAAGAGTTTCTAATCGTTTTATTCTCTCTAGATGGAAAGTCAGTTTCCTTCAGAAAAATTTAACAGCCTGGCAAGTGTAAGGGCCTGAGTTCAATGCCCAGCTCCACAAAAAAAAAAAAAAAAAAAAGAAAGAAAAAGAAAAAAAGAAAGAAAGAAAAACAAAATTTAACAAAAATAACACAACCAGGACTGTAATATTTGAATAATGATTAACATGTGCCTGTGGAGGATTTATTACACAAATAAAATTCTGGGAAAAAGAGGGAGACAGGGGTAAGACATAGACTCTCAACTGAAGAAATAAGGGAAGAAAGATTGTCCAGTCAAGCAGAGAACAGCAAGGCCTGATAGTTTGAAGTGAGGGAGGCAGGATCACAGAGTCCCCAGGTGTCTGCATTGTATATTAAGTGTCTTAAGTTCCTTCAAATTGTGTAATGTTTAAAACATGGTTTGTACTTACTATAATAAAAATTGTATTTTACCGATTATAATCTTGAAGCACAGAGAATGGAAGTGACTTGGAGATGTGTAGCTGTAAGAGACAAAATCTACCATCAGAACCAGAGCAGTCTGACTCCGAAGCTCACACAGTTTCCGCCGTCGGGGCCTGGGGCTCTCAGGAAGGCTGTGGAGGCGGAGCTTCCAGGGATGGTGCTGACCGGGCTCCGTAGCAGTAGTACTGTTGGTGATACAGCAGACGTGAAGTGTTTATTCTGCACAACATAAGATCCAGATACGACTGCATGTATCATGCCATTCATTTTTAAATTTTATTTCAATGTAATTTAAGTTAATATTAATAAATATTTAAACCCACTCTTCTATGGGAAAATAAAAATTTTATGCAAAATAATGAGAGAATAATGAAAGTTAACACACTGTGTACCATAATCTTGAAAACGTGGCCAAAATGTGCTCAGGATACAAGTCATACACAAGAGTCTCACTTAACAAAAGCAGGAACAGAGAGCAGAACTAACACTGTTTTACAGTTAACTAAGAGAAGTTAGTAGCACAAATGAAACAAGTTAGCATATTGAAGGATTTTCAAATAATGAAATAGAAAATGTAGGTAATTATTTGAACTTCTGCCTTCTTCCTATTTCTCCATCTCCTATTTTGCTCTTTATTTATGTGTACATATATTTTGAATTTTTCATGTAAGAGAAACCATACAGTACCCAAGCTTACATGTCTGAGTTAGTTCACTTAATGTGCTCTCAAGTTGCATCCATCTGCCTACGAATGCCTCGAGTTTATATTTCTTCACGGCAGTGTGGTACGGTTTTGTATAAACACCATAGTTACCCGTATTCTTTACCCATTCATCTGGCATGCTGTCCCAAGCTTCAGTCCCTACACACTGCGCTGCTATAAACACGGGTGAGCACGTATCCTTGTGATGTGATGACTTCAACTCTTCAACTCTTTGGGGAAGATACTTAGAAAAGAGCTGAGTCAAATGGGACTTCTGTTTGTGTGTTGTTTTGTTTTAATACATAGCAAAGGTACACTTTATTCACATGTTGGGAGAAAAACACGGTTTTCTTTTCTTCCCAATAACTGCAATTTCGGAAACCTTCAAAATATCAATATAAAACATACACTATGACTTCCATTTTGGAGCTAGCTAGTAATATATTTCACTTGCTTTTAAAAACAAACCTTCAGTATATTAAGAGACATGACCTATGACAATTAATTTGAAATTACTATCTGCTTTTAAAAAGTTGATGTGACATTTTAAATTTGTGTTTCCAGGATAAAGCCTTTTGTGAGGCTGACCCGCAGCTGTGCCATCTGCAAGCATCTCGGTGGACTCTTCTTTTTGGCGATTTGCTGCATTCTGTTTGCCAGTGTCTCTTGGAGGATTTTTGCATCTGTATGTTAGAGAAACTGACATGTAGCTCTCTTTTTTTGATTCAATGCTGACATTAGGGAATCAGGGTAACGTTTCCATTGCTTTTCTCTACAGCTTTTAAGATCCTTCTGTTTGGTTGGTGTCTTAGTTACTCTTCTCTCGTTGCTGGGACAAATGCCAGACGCTCAAGTTTAGGGAAGGAAAAGTTTATTTAGCTCACAGTTACTGGAGGTTTCAAGACACTGGAGGAGAGGCTGGGCGCAGCCGTGTCC